GAATTTCATGTTTTCTCTCATTTGTGGAAATAAAAATCAAACTAAAACCTTGAAAATAGAAGACTCCTATGATCAACTCCTATGATTATTGGCTGGGAAGGGGAAAAGATGGGAAGACAGTTTAGTTTGGATCTGCCTGGACATGTCAGCTCTGGGCTCAGTACATCTGAACTTTTCCTACTTTCATGAAAATAGACATCTAACTTTCTGAAATAAAACTATTACTGCAATATGATCCCTCTGTTGCATTACTGGACATATATCCAAGTCAATAAGATGAGTGTATTTAAGAGATGCCTACTCCTATGTTCTGCAGCTGAGATAGGGAATCCGCCTTAGTGTCCATCAGCATAGGGTGAAAAAAGAAAACATGTATATACATAAAACCAAATACTACCTGGAAAATGGAAACAAAACTTTTTATTTTTCGTGACAAAGTTTACTTATGATAACTTTATCATAGAAATATGTCATAAGTAAAAATAAATAGAAAGAAATCCTGTCATTGACACAAGATGTATGAATCTGGAGAACATTATATTAATTGAAATACACCAAGCAGAAAAAGATACCACATGATCTCCCTCATTTTGGGAATTTTTAAGAAGTTGATCTTATAGAAAAAGAGCAGATCAGTAGTTACCAGCAGTGAGGGCCATTGGGAGGTGGTGAACAGAGTGTTGGTCAAAGAGTGTTCCATGTAAGGGGCCTACTGTGTACCCCAGTGACTAAATTAGTGATCATATATTCCATTGTTGAAAAATTTAGAGCTTATATTATGTATCCTCATTAAAAATGATAAGTTCCTCTTATCTGTCAATTTAAATAAATAAGTTGACAAATAACTTTGCAAAGTAAAAAGCTTAAAGAGAACTAAAAAAAAATAGTCTCTTTTTTCCCCATAACATTGTGAATCCAAAATGATTTTGATAATGTCCAAAGATTGTTCAAAGGAGGCACATCACAGGGGATGGATCCTGGGAAAGATTCTTTGTAGAAAATAACCATTCATTATGGGATATCTTATGACTTTTAAATCAAATTAAAGCAAAAAAAGTTACTTTTTTCCCCCTTGGAGGAACTAAAACCATTTCTCCCTGCCACTGCTCCTCAGAAAAATCAATGGGACATTTCTACCCTGCTCTCTTCTTTGCACCCCAAGGGAACCAAATTGTTTGGAGAGTAGAAAGAAAATACAACAATTTCTTTAATGAGGAGCTCTGAGAATTCAAACCTGGAAATAGTAGAGAATTTAAATAATGCTCCTGGTGCCCCTCACCTGTGTTTCCCTGGTGCCAGCCTTCCATGAAGGCTCACACGGGCTTCCTCACAACCAGTGTGGGGAAGGGAAAGCTTCTGTGACCACCACTGGAGATTGGCAGAGTGTCCCTGTAATGCAGGAGGAGTAAGAGTACAGAGAGAAAGCAGGTACGGGGCTTCACCTCCAGAACAGGGAGAGCAGACACTTCCTTTTCTTTAGTCTAAGGAGGTTAAGTCCTCCCTAGTGATACTGCCGGTTAGTGGTGACGAGTTCTGCTCCCTCACATGTTAAGTTTGAACATTAGAGAAGCACACCGAGGCAAGCATATAAAGCAGGGTTTATTTAAAAAGGGTTAACAGACTCCTCCCAGGAGGGAGAAGGGGGCCATAGCTGGTATTCTGGTATCCCAAGAAGCGAGGGTGTTTTGCTTTTTTATATGTCCTAGGCTTCCTTTATTATCCTGCTCTTTCTCCCTTCCAGCATATGTGACTAGGCCCAGGAAATGCTTGGTGGGATGGCTAAAAGGTGGGAGACAGGTGGGCTGGAGGGCCACTGGAAAAGTGATCCAGGCAGGATGGGGTGTAATTAACAACAACCTGTAGGGAGGGACAATCCCTTAGACAGGTTACCTTAGCAACAGGTTGGAGCAGGGGCAGATTATCTTGATAATGGTGGAGGAAGAGCTCTGAAGGCAGTAGCATTTCAGTCTCTCTCCAACTTCCCAGACCCAAATTGGCCTCCTTGATGGATCTGACTCTATTTACCTATGTATACTGACTGCCTCTTTTAGTTCTGGCTTCACTAGAGTGCTGTGAATGCACTTGAGTTTCCATTAAGAACTGTGTCTTCCAGTTATTCTTCTGTTTCCTTCTCTCACTATTTGCATTCTAGAGCATCTCTCCTGAAAGTGTTATTTCCTCAGTTTCCAACTCTTCTGCACTCTTTTCTATAAATTTAGGCTGCTGTCCAACTTCCTGCATCCAATTATTTGCTAACAATTCACCTAATGTCTACTATGTACAAGATACCGCCTATTTTGTTTCAAGTTTATTGGATTCTTTTTGGTATGCTTAATTATTTTATTGGTATATCTGACTTACCAAGTACATAATAGGTGTATTTGGTATATCTATATTGTAGTTTTCATTTTAACTTAAGATACACAAAATATCTACCATCAATATAGTTTTATTTGATATTCAACACTCAGTCTTACTTCCTTTTCTTTTATACAAATCTCTTCAGTTTTTGGAAAGTATTGAATGATTGAAATTGCAGGAGAGTTCCTTGGCATGTTCATGATTTTGACATAATACTGCAGTGTTTAATGTAGCATCTCCTCTTGGATGTGGTTTGAAGCAACCATTCTTTATTGGGCTTGAGAACTGTCCTTTTTATCTTCCTTTACAGACAATCTCAGGCCTTAAGTGTTGGCTGCCACCCCAACTAATGGCTGTTAAGTTTCCTCAAATCCTTTTAATATATTGTGCTTTTGGTTATAATTTCACATCACTAACTTAATTTTTTTGTAATGAGTAATGTTGGCAAACTTACTTTTCTTACATTGTCTTCCTTTCCCGGAATTGGTTCTACTTGTTGATCCTTAAATAATGTGCATTCATATCTATTTTAAAAGAATTATAAGGATAATTCATAACTCTACCATTTAATTCTGTGCCTATCTTTGGGGATATGATGTTGAAAAACTCTTTTGGGTCACAGGAGACGTTTTATTTACAATATTTATTATACTTCCAACATTTGCCATTGCCCAGGACCTGTAAGGTGAGAGGCACCATTTACATCCATGGAAAGAATCAATAAGACAAAACCATCACAAGCCACAAAGGAAATAAACCCTGAGAGAGTCTTAAAGGAAGATTACAGAAGCTTCACTGTGGGCTTCACACACTTTGTTCCTCCTGAGTCTTGTCCCCTGCTCTCCAGCGGCTGGCTTCTCCATCCCTTGTGTACCAGCTCACCCACCAACTGAGCAAGTAGACATTCTGTTCTCTTCCCTCACTTCCCCTGATTAACAATGACTCATCTTTCTTCTCAGTGGAAGCACTCCTATTTCAGAGCAGACATTCTTACCTGTCTTCAGAGACTAACCTGGTCCTCGGTGGATTTTATAAATGCCTCATTCTCTAGACATTTATAGCACTGATTTTTCTGTCATAGAATGTAAATATTTATTTTTAAACCTTAAGTTTATCCTTTTTATCCTGTAGGATAGATAGATTATACAACTTTTGGATATTTGTGATCAAATCCATGAATTACATTTCTTGGCCTTTAGCTGTGATCCCTGTGATACAATAAATTCCCATTCAAGAGCACAGACACATGAATGCCCATTCCCTCACATGCTTTTCTCTCCTGTTGTGGGGCTGGTCCACATGCTTTTGCCTCCTCTTGGAAGAATAACCCAGCAGGTGCTCTCTGAAAGAAGCACCCATAGGGATTGCTGTCAATTAGTAGTGCTCTATGACAGTAGAAGTGTGCAGATAGCTGTTGAGTTTACACCAATAAGAGCTCCATCCCAGATGCCTGACCCAGTTTCAGAGAGAGATTGATAAATGATAGCCATGCGCGACAGATCTATTGAGATATGAAGAACAGGAGTTCACATTTATGAAATACCCACTGTATCACAATAGAAATCATAGTAGAAAAATTGTATCATCTTATTTAATTATGCTTTTCAATCCTACCATGTAGGGAATAATTACTACTTCTGCTATAGAAGTACTGGTAGTTGAAAGAGTTTAAATAGCTTTCTCAAGGTCACAAAGATGATATGAAAGGTGATATGTTGGTGGAGCAAACTTCTGTTACTGAAAATCTGACTCAAAAATCCCATATTGGTGCTGGGGATATAGCTCAGTTGGTAGAGTGCTTGCCTTGCATGCACAAGGCCCTGGGTTCGATCGCTGCACCACACACACATAAAAAAAAGAATCTCATATTTATACTATATATATATATATATATATATACACACACACACACACACACACACACACACACACACACGAGATCTATACCTATATATATCACCAAAACATAAAGCATGAGTTTTAAATAATATTAATGATAACAATGACAACTTTATTTACTGAGAGTACTACTGAGATGAAAGGTGTTTTAAAATCTACAGGAATAAGGGAGCAAAGGAGGGTAATAGGTGGGTATGTATGATCAAAGTGTGTTATAAACAGGATGTAAAGTGAAACCCATTATTCTGTGTGATTGATTTAAACTAATAAAAATATGTCTAATTTGGTAATAGCAAAACCACATTTTAAGAAAGAAAAAAGGCATTGAGAGAAAACTGTCATGTCATTATGATGTATCCACTCATAAATAAAGGTAGTTGAATTAAATATTCTGTGTTTAAAGATGATCATAAAGCTGTAGGATAAAGAAGTATGGAAATTGCAAGGAAAAGATGTTAGTTGTCTTCAATAGTCTACAGTATATGAAAAGTTAGCTTACATACATATATTTAAAAAGACAATTAAACTCATTAGTCAATGAAAAAAGAGATTTCTGTTAATGCAAAGAAAGCATGGCTGTTCAGTGAATGTTGATTTACCTTTTTTAAAAAATTTTTGATTGTAGATGGACAAGTGCCTTTATTTTATTCATTTATTTTTATGTGGTGCTGAGGATTGAATCTAGCGTCTCACATGTGCTGGGCAAGCACTCTACCACTGAGCTACCGCCCCAGCCCTGTGATTTTACCTTCTGAACCAGAAGACACACTGTATACATGGAAGCAGAAAACCACACAGGATTATCACAGTTCCTCCTCCAGGGCTTGTCCGATGACCCTGAATTGCAGCCTGTTCTCTTTGGACTGTTCCTTTCCATGTACCTGGTCACCATCCTGGGAAACCTGCTCATTATCTTGGCTATGAGCACTGACCCCCACCTCCACACCCCTATGTACTTCTTCCTCTCCACCCTGTCCTTCACTGATGTCTGTTTAATCTGCACCACGGTCCCAAAGTTGCTGGTGAACATCCAGGCACAGAACAAGGACATCTCCTACATACAGTGCCTCACTCAGGTGTATTTTTTTCTTCTCTTTCTTGGGATGGATAATTTCCTACTGACTGTGATGGCTTTTGACCGCTTTGTGGCCATCTGCCACCCGCTGAACTACACCATCATCATGAACCCCTGGCTCTGTGTCCGCCTGGTTCTCATGTCTTGGCTCATCATGTTCTGGGTCTCCCTCATTCATGTTCTGCTGTTGAATCAACTGACCTTCTCCACAGGCACTGAAATCCCACATTTTTTCTGTGAACTGTCTCATCTTCTCAAGGTGGCCAGCTCTGATACCCTTGTCAACAACATCTTTCTGTATGTGGTGGCTGCCCTGCTGGGTGTGTTCCCTGTCACTGGGATTCTCTACTCTTACTCTCAGATTGTCTCCTCCTTAATGAGAATGTCCTCCTCTGTGAGCAAGTATAAAGCATTTTCCACCTGTGGGTCTCACCTCTGTGTGGTTTCCTTGTTCTATGGAACAGGATTTGGGGTTCACCTCAGTTCTGCTGTGACCCATTCTTCCCAGAGAACCATGATTGCCTCAGTGATGTACACTGTGGTCACCCCCATGCTGAACCCCTTCATCTACAGCCTGAGGAACAAGGATATGAACAGGGCCCTGGGGAGACTCCTCAGCAAAGCAGCTTCTTCTGTTTGATTGATCACTGACCTCAGAGCTAAATGGACATTGTAGTCCCCAAGGAAAATGTTGTGAATTGCAATATTCTAGTTCTGTTTCTTCCCTAAAACACTGTGGTCACCCCCATGCTGAATCCCTTCATCTACATTTCTTCTGTTTTCCATACTTTGATTTTGCATATTTTTGTACATATTTCTAACAACCATCTTAGTAATTTTTTTGAATTTTCTTTCCTGTACATGGCCCATAAAGTTCTACATTAAGTAACTTTTCTTACTATAATTCCTAAGATTTCCAACTTTATATAAGAATGTACATCAAATACTGGCATGATTTCCTCAAAATTATTGCTTAAATGTTAAAATTCTTCATCTTAATGTTATTGCATTATTGTTTTACCTGGAAAAAACGGAATAAAAGTTATCAGAGAAGTGTTTACCATATTAGTACTGTGCTTCTCACTTTATGTGTCTGACTTCATTTATCTTGGAAAGATTTCATTCACTTATTTCCTCTCAGGCACAAAATATCTGAAGGGAAGAATTTGAAAATGTGATGCATGAAACTGGATCTTCACTGAGCACACACTCCTATCTTTGCTATCCCACTTTTCCTACTTTTTATAACAGCAGTAGTAGATTTTGAACATGGAAGCAGGAGTCTACCTTGGCAGCAGTCTTGTTTATGTGTTCATCATCATATAATGCCTTATATGCTCTTTATATGTTGAACTGCATTGATCCTGATAAAGAAACATTTACAGCAGGAATGAAAGATCTTCAGATGGCTCTGGGGCAATCTTAGGGGGCTTTGGTATTGAACCTGAACCCTCTAGTAGGCTTTTCTGTTTCTCAAGCAGCCCAGGCCATAGGAAGAGAGGAGAATGAATTGATCAGAAATTGGAAGATAAGAGAGGGCAAAGGAATAACAAAGGGAAGAATACAGGTAATGAGGAGCCAGATGTATAATGATCTAAATACAGTGGGGTCTCCTGTGGAAGAAGCTGATGATCAATCTACTACTGTTTTGGTAAGACTATGGGAAAAGCTAAAACCTGAAGAATGCATTTCTTTTCAGTATTGGGGATTGAACCTGTGGCACTTAACCACTGAGCAACATATACTTTATACTTTATTGATATACTTTATTTAGAAGCAGGGTCTTGCTAAGTTGCTAAGGGCCTCACTAAGTTGCTGAGGCTGGCTTTGAACTCATGGTCCTCCTGCCTCAGCCTCCTGAGCCACGGGCATCACAGGTATGCTCCACTGTGCCTGGCTGAACAGTGGTTTTCTCAGCACCTTGAGAATAGAGAAACTAAGACTATGCTTACTGCCCCGATGTGGGAGTATCCTTTCCCCACAACTGCCACCAGGGAAAAAGTCAAGATCTTCCAGAGAGCCCAGCTCCAGCTTTATTTGTGCATGCTGTGTTGGGAAAATAGAGGCCATGTATAGAAATAGCAATTTATTGGACAGAATAAATGAGCAAGCCATTTTAGCATTACTAGACACAGGTACTGAATATTCTTGTATTCATGGGAATCCATCTGGTTTGAGGAGAAAGATGAATACAGGGTAAGTATGGTCAAGGTTATGCATGCATCTTGATGGACAAGACCTGACAATATCTGTGTCTCATTTTATCAATGAAAAAATGTTAACATCTAAGACTTTTATAGACCTAGAGGAGGCAGCTCAAACACCAGTGATGCATTTCCAAAGGAAAGGGTGTGTCATCAATACCTTATCACTCGCTCTATATAAAAATTGATGCATAATGGAATAACGACTTAAAAACAAGATCTGAAAGCATAAAACTATTGAGAAGCATCCTGAGGGAAACACCCCATAACTTTAATCTGGGCAAAGACTCTTTTGGATATACTCTCTAAAGCATTGACCATGAGAGCAATGATTGCGTGCTCATGCACACAAACAATTAAGTTTTGCTGTGTTTAGCAAAACAAAGGGGTTCTGTGAGAAACTATGAACTCCTTGAGCTGTGTCCTTGTTGCAGTCTTGAGAAGATAAGAGAAAAGAATGTTTGCCAAGTTTAAAATCTATGTAGATATAGATATGTGATTGCCAGGAAATTAACTAACTACAACTCAGATAATAAGAAGTACGGAGCACTGTGACCATGAACAAAGTTACTCTGAGAATGTTTATCCATGCTTGATAAGATTAAGCTGCCGGAAAGATGTGTTTCATTTTTGCTGTATAAAAGAAGGAGGGAAAAAATAAAGCTGCTGGTTATTCTCTACTGGATGTGTGCGTGTGCGTGTGTCTTTCTTTATGCATCCCTACTATGTCTTTCTTTATGCATCTCTGCTGTACCAGGAATTACAGATTGTCAGCGGGTTCTGACAAATGATAGATGAGTATGATTACATCAAACACAAAAGCTTCTATCCAGCAAAGAATTAGTAAAGATTAATAGAAATCAAACAGGAGATATTGTTTGCAAACTATAAATTTTCTGTGGGGTTAATTTCTAAAACATAAAGAACTAAAACAACTCATTATATGAAAATGAATAACTTGATTAGAAACTGGTCAAAAGATCCAAGTAGGTGCTTCTCAAAAGAAGAAATATGAAAAGTTGTTCAGTACAGCTCCCTAGTCTCCACCCCAGAGCCTCTTACAGTCACCATTGCCTCTGTTTCTCTGAGTTCTACATTTTTAGATCCACATATGAGTCAGCTCATGCAGTGTTTGTCCTTCTATGCCTGTCTCATTTTCCTTGTCAACATGTCCTACAGGTTTATCCACATACTAGCAAATGTCAGGATTATCTTATATTTAATGACTGCATGGTGTCCATTGTGTATATACACCACAGTTCTTCATCAATTCATCTATTCTTCAGCTTTTGCCAAAAGTTTTCTTATTTTCACCATTCATATTTGTATTAAAGCTGCAGTGATTTGTTGGCAGATGGCATTGAGCCAATGGAAATTCTAACGACAGTCTCTAAATTCGCCTCCATTGGTCTTTTGGGTACCAGTGCTCAGCATTAAAGAAAAATATTGGTCCAGAAGTTTGCAGTCAACCAGTACTATTTTGAATTAATGGGAATACCTGCTGCAGCAATTCAGTTTATTTTGAGCATTTTATTTTTGTTGTCAATTCAGCAGAAACAGCTTTGGCATACCAGGGCTGGACTAGGAAAGAGAACCTTAGGTTCTTATCAAATCTCTTCCATAGTGAAGCCACTTAGAGAAAAGGTTAGAGTAATCCCTTCTAAGAAGTTCAGAGCAAGATTAGAACAGAAAATGAGTTTTTTTTTTTAATAATTAGATGCACCAAGATGTGCATTAATTCTTAAATTACCTGCCCCGTGCAATTACTATATTTTACAAAATGAGAAAGAAGGAAAAACAAAATGGTTGCTTACCTAATGGTTATATTGATAGTAAAAATAATAATAGCGCACTAGCCCTGGTATGGGTTCATGAGATTTTTCATGGTACATTAATAAATTAAACCTGATGTCTTACTTATGAAATTACAAGCAGCAAAGATTAAGACTTTTTAGACATTTCCGTTGATGTGAAGCAAAACATATAAAAAAACCCCTTTAGGCTTTAGCAACACAGAAACTCTGTCCAGGGAACACAAATATTACTAAGAAGATCAGCAAGCAGGAAGCACACAAAGGGTTGAATTGTCCATGATTCTAGGTCTATACCTGAACAGGTTACATATGTGGATCATCTTCATTGAAACATAAGACTTTCTTGTTGCATATTTTTTCTTTAGAACTCCCTCTATTTAACACTTCAAATGACGCAGATAATCCTGATGGAATGAACCACCTTGTTGCTGTTGTGGTTCACTGTGGAATAGCCCCAACTGAGGCCACTACATTGCACTAGTAAGAGTCAGGACTTTTGGGTGGTTGCTTGATGGTGACACTGTAGAAACACACAGATGGAATCTACTAGTTTGTATTGATGACTTAAGGAGGTAATACTGAACACACTCTACGTGTTTCGTAGGTATTGAAGCACATTCACTTTTGTGAAAAATTAATATATATTAAAATTTACTGTCAGGAAGACAAATATGTCTTGCTTCTCTAAAGAAGTTTACAATAACATGTATGTGTGTGTAGGCAACAGTTGGTAAAAAATGGACTTTTGTTTCTCAAGGGGAAAGATATCTTTGTAATTGTAATTTTTCCTTATATATTTTACATAAAACTAATAGAGTTTAATTATTGTATTGAATTCCTCATGACTCTGTCAGTAGATTTTAGCATATTTTTTACTAGTTTTGTGAGGCTAAGTAGTTCTTTTTATTTGTTTCTATTTTAAGTGAATTGTAAATTCTAAAATCACAAAATACCTTGAGAAAAATTTCAATGAGAAGAGTTCCTCTATTCAGGAAGAAATGCTAAATATTTGTGCTTTTATCATAGTTAATAAGTCACCTGTTTTATTCAGGTTTAATTTCAGAAGAATAAAAAACTCCAAAATCCCCTATTGTTCTTGAAATGATCAAAGTAATTCTAGTGCAGTGGTAATATACTGTTCTTTCAAATTCTTAAATAATCTAATGTTTCAAGTTGAGTCATGCTTAGAAAAAGTCATGTCATCACAGTTGCATTATTTTCAAATATCATTATTTTACCTTGAAAATAAGACATTCATCACTGCTCCAGCAGCCTGTATGACATCTAGAAAGCTTTTGATGACTACGTTTAGATGAAGTAGATTCTAATCCATCACACTTTTGTACCTTCTGAACATACAAATCTGATTGGAAGACTATTTAGAAATTAAAATCTAAGTTCACAAATGCATTCTACTAGGGGTTTTAAGAAGTTAAATATCTAGTTTAAAAGGTCTGTAAACTATTGCAGTTGACATTTTTCATGCATCAGTAAGTTTTCTGACAGCCAAATTAACCTCCAGAAAGCATTGAAAATTATATCAAAAATAATAGCAATCAATCATTGGGGGTTCTTTATCAAAACTTCCAGGCAGTAATTTCAAAAAAATGTTTCCAGTTTTC